CACACACACACACACACACACACACACACACACCCTCCCCTCTTGTCTCTGGTGAGCTACTTAGATAGTCTGCTAAAGTCTCTGGAGAGTCTCCCTCATCCAGGTTGTCCCACAGGTGCTTTTTCCAGCTGGACTTTGTTTTTCCTTGAAGACGTTTCATTTCTCATCCAAGAAGCTTCTTCAGCTCGTGGTCTGCTCTGCCTTCTGGGAGCCCCCAAAGCAGCCTGGAGCTTCTCCAAGAGGGCCAGGCTTCAAAACCAAAGAACCAGAAGAGCAGAGAAGGGCTGAGCTTAGATTCCAGGTAAGGATCTGGCTCGGGCTGGTCAAGTCTACAAAGACTCCATTCTCCTAGAAGGTGCTGCACTTGTGCTGCACAAAGGGTGCTCTGGAGGATGTAGGACGCCCGTAATTGACAAGGCTCTTTCTGCTTGGTGAGTTTTTCAAGCTCAATGGCCTTCAGATGCAACAGTTCACACATCATGCTTACTAGGATGGCTGCTTGCTAGGTGGTTGGTTCAGTCCCAAAATCCGTAGCCAACATTTTCAATCTCTGAGAAGTGCTTGGTGTTCTCTGAGCTTACGTGCAAATATTTCATTATCCATCTAGGTAACATCCTCAGCGCTCATGGGGTTGGAGTTTGCTTCTTGTTTATATACAGTAGTTTGCTCTGCCAATGTTGCCAATAATTCATAGTTCCTTGATTATTGTTTTCTGCTTGTTTGTCTGGTGTTTGTTTCTGCTTCTCTGGGTGTTGGCTACTAGAGGGAATTGTCTTTTGCTTAGTATTTTTATTATCTCTTTTGAATGGCATGTAAATATGGTTTATCTGTATGTGTCCATTGATGACTGATTTGTCTGAATGCCAACCTTCAAGGAATTCCCCAGCATCTCTTGGTTTAGCTTGGTCTAGCATGCTTACAGTTACTCAGCTGAAGCTGTGGTTGAGTCTCTACCTGTGTTGTGAGATTAAGGAGTTTTTATTGTGTCTTCTGACTGTTATTCATGTTTGTGTTCTGCTAGCTTTTTGCCTGTCTGTTCTCCTTAGTGGCTGTTGCAGCCCTTACACCGTAAGTTGTAGATGACTTCTCTTTTTTCTTCATGGACTGTTGGGTCCATAAATATTGGTTTATTTAAAATATTTCAGTTGGTTTGTATGCTAGGGCGATGCCCTGAACCTGTTCTTAGATATTCTGTACATATGGCAGTGTTATCCTCATGCTGGCTGTGCTTAGTGGGTTGAGTGGTTAGGCATTTTTCCATGTCAAAAAAACAAGCTCAGAGGGCATCAAGTACTCCACAGCTCAGTCCTGACTTTCATAGATCCTCTTCACTTTTAGTTGTTTTGTAAAATTGCACCTTGAATCCTGACAGCCCACTCCAACCACTGGCAGACCAGAGCTGCCCACCTGTTTTCTGCCGGGGAGGGGCTTGGTGGAGGAACGGCCCATAGATTAGCAGAGAGTCAGACCTGCACAGTGTTACAGGAGACGGAGAGAGAGGAATGTCCTGCAGCTCTGAGAACATTTCCATCTCTCTTTTTCTGCTTTGATTGACAGGTGCTAGATCCTCAGTGAAGCTGGTGGCCAAAGTAGTTGCTGCAACTCTAATTATCTGAACGATGGGCAATTTGACATACTTTTGGCCTTCTTTCTTTGTGCTGCAAGGCGTCCCGGGGCTGGAGGTTTATCACATGTGGTTCTCAGGACTAGTTTGCACCTGCTATGGAGTTATTATTGCTGGGAACTGTATGGTTTTACTAGTCATTGTACTAAAACCAGCCCTCCACAAGCCCATGTACTACTTCCTCTGCATGCTCTCTATGACCGAATTAATAACGTCCACTTCTACATTGCCCAAGATGCTTTCCATCTTCTGGTTCCAGGCTGGGGAGATCCAAGTTGACAGCTGCCTTGCCCAGATGTTCTTCATCCATGCTTCAGGCATGGTAGGGTCAGCGGTGCTGCTGGCCATGGCCGTGGATCGCTACGTGGCCATCTGCTTCCCTCTCAGGTACAATTCTTTCTTCACCGGCTCCCTGGCTGCCAAGATGGGGGTGGCAGCTGTGGTCAGGGCGACCCTGCTGATGTGCCCATGTCCTTTCCTGATCAAGAGGCTGACCTTCTGCCGGACAAACGTCATCCACCACACCTACTGTGAGCACATGGCTGTGGTGAGGCTGGCCTGTGGAGACACCAGGATCAACAGTGTTTATGGGCTGAGTGCGGCCTTGGTGGTCATTGGGGGGGACCTTCTAGGCATTGGCCTCTCCTACTTCTTCATTGTCCGTGCAGTGCTGCGCCTTTCCTCCAATGAG